TCGTTTTTACAGCCAAGAAGTGATGGGCCTGTACTAGGGATGGGCCAGACAGAAAGCAGCCTAAACTGATGCCCTCTAGTTACTATTTATAACAAGTCCACTACTTTAGCTATTGGTTTTGTTGTCTAAGGATGGTGGTAAGTTAGCCCAACATCTAGAGGGAACCAGTTCAAGAAAGCTGCTTGTAGTCAGGTGTCAGGCTAGAAGCTCTGATATTCAGAAATGGAAGTATTACCATTTCCAGTCCTTGCTATATAACAAGTGACACTGTTAATGGAGATTGCACTAAATAAATATCTCTATTGCATATTTGTTACACATATAACAGAATAACAGAGTTGAAAGGAGCCTTGGATGTCTTCTAGTCCAACCCCTTGCTCAAGCAGGAAATTCTATACTGTTTAGATAATAAGAAGGTATTCTTCTTGAATTTGACAAATTCTGGTCCTTGATCATGCAATGAGCTTTTGTATAGTACAAACAGTTCTCTCTAAGATACTGAGAAAATAAAAGGAGGAAGAAGGTCATAGCAGTGAGGAAGCTAAACTTACTGAAATCAAACTGAAAGTAATAGTGATTTGTTATCCAGTTTTAGGGAGGTAATCAATATCAAATAGTATAGATTTCTTAATCTGGAACTCAGCACAGAGTATTTACAGACTCCATTCATAATATATTTGATAACATACAGTGAGTCCTCATTTAGCAACTGTCTTGCACAGTGATCATTTGTAGTTATGACAGTGATGAAAAAGTAATTTTGCGACCAACCATAGCATTTATGACCTTTGAAGGTGTGTAAAACAAAGAAAAAACTGAAGTAAGTTCATAAGCACAGTCATGGTTTCACTTAGCAATTGCTTCCCTTAGTGCCCAAATAGCTGATCCCAATTGTGATTGCTAAATGAGGACTACTTGTATTAAGCAGCTGTTGTCCGAAATTGGTCAAGAATTAAAAAGCACACTTAAGGGAGGTCAAGAGGAATATGTTCCTGGTAAAAAACACCTTGGGTTCTTGGAAGTAGAAAACCAGTCAGAATAATTATGATGATCTTATTCAGGAATACATTTTTCCTATTGAGAAATTATACAATTAGGGAAATGAGAGAATTTGCAAGAATTTATTCTATGCAGCTTGATTTGTGTAATTATTAATTCAGGTTAGAGTTCCTTCAAAATACTGTGAAATATCTTTTTGATATTTTAGACCGTTCTATTCCTTCAGGTTATGTGATTGAGGGACAGTTATTTTGATCCTTAAATAACTGGTTTATATGGTCCACTAAATGTCACATTTTGATTATTTGACATTAGGAATTCCCTCTAAGTGTGAACAGGCTAGAATTAAATATGTATTGCTTGTGTAATAAATTTCCTCAGCTGTTGTACTTCCCCACAATCTCCTAAATTTTTGAACAAAAGTTGCACCTGCAAATTGTAAGACTAACTCTCCACCCCCATCTGTTTTAACAGACTGATATCTGTTCAGATTTCAGTTTATGATCTTATATTGTACGGGTGTCAAACTCACGACGTCACGTGACATGTCATGATATATTGTGACTCTTTTCCCATTGCCGGCAATGGGATGGGCGTGGTTTTGGCGTGATGCATCCAGCCCGTGGGCTGGCAGTTTGACACCCCTGCTATATTGCAAGCATCATTATCAAAGCTTTACAGGAAAGAGGAACCCAATCTCTTCCACTTTTTCTTTCACAGTCTATTCACCCAATTTCTGTGAAACCCTTAATCAGGTATACTTCCAAAATAACGGCCAGCTGGGAGATGCAAGTATCAAGTCACCCATTTTCAGTTGGTCAAGGAAAGTGCTAGTAAACATATACTCTGGGAACAGCTGAGGATTTGAGCTATTTCCATGAATGCATTTTGCTTGACAGATAGAAACAAGAAGATGAAAGTAGGTTATCACTGTGGAGAAACTCAAAGAGGAAGGCCTAGCAAAAAATATAACCACTAGAAGCATCACTGAAGTATTTATTCCCAATAAAGAAGGAATATTATGGAAATCCCACGTTTTGGCAGAGTGAAAATAAAGTTGTGGGTTTGTTTCTTTCTAAAATTACATTTGGTAGGACATTTTAAAAAAAGAACAGGGACAGTAATGTCTATAGCAAACCACAGTATTGCAAAAATGAAGACATATGCACATCATCACACAAATGCTTCCTTTATGTACTTGCATTCCAATGTCTGATGCAAGTATGTAGGTGACAGCATTTGCACAATTACATAGTCATATTTACCATTTGGCCCTCTTCCCCCCTCTGTTCCCACATACTCATGAACAAGGAATTTTAAGGCGTATGTTGACAGATTGATAGTATGGTTAGTGCTAATGATACCAAACCTCATAGGTAGTTCATAGACATGTGGAAAGTAGTACTATATCTTAACTAGAAATATATTAAATAACTTGCCTATGGAGATTCTCAGTCATCCAGGTCATAGTTATTTCCCAAAGGTGATTTTTCACAAGGCAACTGGACTTTCTTATTTTTCTTTGAAGACGTTTCGCTTCTCATCCAGTCAGTCAGAGCTGAAGAAACTTCTTGGATGAGAAGCAAAACGTCTTCAAAGAAAAACAAGAAAGTCCAGTTGCCTTGTGAAAAATCGCCTTTGGGATACTAAATAACTTGTAAACTTTTGTGCTCAATCTACTATGCACTTGCTAAATTTTGATGGACAATTCATGCTTGTTGTTCTAATGATTCTTTATGTCAGACATGGACTGGGCAATTCTTCAAGCAGAGATCATCAAACAGATGACTATAAAAATGACTACAGTATAAGGAATACTCACCTGGTATTGAATGATATCCCTCTCCTGAATTAGAACTATATATATATATAAAAGACAATTGAAAACATTAGATTCATGATTTCTTTTTTCCCCTCTATTGGTTTCTTGTTGCATGTATCTAGGATATTATAATATGTTATGATAAGAAAGCATCTGTCCTAAAGCCACACTTTATTTATATCTCATTTTTTATCATAAGAATGTACATGAGAGATCTTCTCTAATTCTATCCCCACCATAGGCTGATAAGGCAGGCTGGGTGAAAAACAATGACAAGTTATCCAGTGAGCCTCAGTTGTGAAGGATGTAGAAATAATCCTGTGTACAGGGACAGAATGAATGAGACAATAAGGGACGAACTGCAGGAACGGTTAGAGTCCCGAGAAAGAGGAAAATGTGAAAAAGAAACTCAAAATAACTCTGCTTTCATTTTGTTTCATATAAGGGCATAGAAAAAGTTGAATAGGCCTTCAAGATTTTGATATGCTACCTTATGTCATTAAGGCACCTCCCTTCCCTACTGCTTTCTTGACTAACCTTCTTCAGTGTGCTCACAGTAGTTGAATGGAAACAAAGTCTACTAAGTCTTCCTAGTCCATATCCAGCACTTCAACCCCTACAATAAGTTATTTTAGAGGAAGTTTCATAATATATACCTAAACTGTTAATGGAAATAGAAAATTCACTCATGGATTGTATGACTTGTTTGTTTTTCTTCTCCAGCTGCATCAGCAGCTCAAATTTTTCAGACCCAGACACTATTTTGGGCCATAGAAGTGTCTGATGGTGGCTATATTTGGAGTGTGGAAATCCCTTAAGACTGTTTAAAAGCTATATAATTACTGTCATTCAGGGCATACCAGAAAAGGTCAATTGATATCTAGAACAATATTATCAAGACCAACATGGGGCATATTTTTTTCATTTTCTGCCTTCTTTCATTTATACTTTATGCTTGGGTTGTCTTCTATCACTATTTCTATTAGCAAACTTGGTACTCCTCAGGGAGAACACAGAATGTAGCAAGGGAAAAAATATTCCCATGATTCATCAAATTCCTAGGCATGTCAAAGTAGTACATCAACCACAGACCATAAACACCCACACCCCCAGAATAAGCCAATAGGAATAGAGTAGGCTCAATACCATAACTGCTAGAAGCCATAGTATCAACTGAGAAAAATGGAAATGTAGGAGAAATGAAAAAAAGGAAAAAAAACCCTGCTAAATAAAAGCAAGGGAATAGCAGCTAAACAGGAAACAGCTTTACAAAATCCAGACAAGAGGAATGCTGGAGTAATGCAGAGTTGTAGCAATAATATACCATTGCATCATACTAACTAGCATTGCTGTCCAATGGATATTTTGCAAATAAGAAATAGGCACAACTAAATAGCCTTCATCATTAAACAGATACAAATAAGGCAAGGTGTCTCTTAACAAGATGGCTGTTAAAAATGAGAAATATTGTGTAGAATTTTGCTATAAATCTCAGTAATGTCTAGTAATTTATTTTTACAAATGGAATAGGAACATTGTGAGATCTTTGAATTTTTTTTAATATTTGAATTTGCTGAATCAACTACCACAAGATGTCTGCCTTCCCACCATTTTTTCATATTTGTTAAGCACTGATATTTATCTCTAGTAAAATGTATAGAATTTTCTGGTTTCTTTATTAAGATTTCCCTTTCCTCCAGGAATTCAAGGTGGTGTGCATATTGCTTCTCCAATCTGAGGACATTAACTCTTCCCATCCACACTGTATATTTTATTTCTCCTTTCCCAAGTTGGTTTCAGAGTTATGAATATAAGCTTAATGCATGATAAATTAAAGACAAAGATAATCTTCACAATCTGGCTGCACTAGTTTTTGTATGAGTATTCAACCCCAGGCACATTCTGCAGTGCATTTTGGGGATGCTCACATCTAATTGTATTTTGTTGTACAAACTGCATGGTTGGTTAAGATGGGAGAAAGTCTTAACTGTCATAGCCCATCAACAAAGTATATAGAAACAATAATTTCAAGGCAAGAGGGAGAAGTTTGGTACATAAATGTGGAACATGCATGGGATGGCTTGGGAAGCTTTAATGTGGTAGCTTGAAGAATGTGATTTCTCCTCCGTGGGCTTGAACATATTTAATTATAATACTTCCCAAACAAATTCACATACAATTATCTGTTTCAGGTGGTGTTAGTGCTGCAGTAGGTTATCCATTGGATACAGTAAAGGTATGTCAGCCAGTCTCTTAAAAGTACTATTTTGTGTATAATCCCTACCACATGGCAAACTGTATAGGTCTCTTCTTTGTGACCGAGTTAACACTTTGTTTA